ACAATAAGTATTTAATCTTTAAGCCGTAAGAAATTGACTAATCATAGTCGAGTATTCTTTTCATATTCGATTATAATTGGTCAATTTCTTACTTTTTAAAGCTTAAATCACTTATTATGGACCGACACTTAGGATCCCCTTAAAGACATCTTTTCTAAGACATATGTTCCATAATCTCAATCTGTCATCAATATAAAAGTCATCTCTAAAGTCATCTCTAAAAGTTCTAAATGACAGTTCCAAACATAATTATTTACATTACCGACATTTATCAAGAAGCGACTACATTTTATTTATTAATATATTTATTGGAATAAATGACACGACCTATTTTGATATAATGTAACCTATAAAAATATTGGCAATTAGTTTATCTAATACTCCAATATTTTGTATTATTATAATATACAAAAATGCAATTAAGATGAACCTCATTGGGATCATTGATATAATAGTTATATAACTTTGTAACGGAGCGCATCCCTCCGCTCCATTCCTCCTCCGAATTTCCCCCGACCGACCATCCGTCGGGGATCGCCGAACACCAGGCGGCAGTGGCCGCAAAGAGGCAGCAATGCCTCCTTTTTAATACATTCATACGCGAACTCCGAAGCGTCGGAGAATACCACGAAAACACGTATATTTTCGTGATATTTCCCCGCACCGCGCCAAGCGTCGCACCAACAAGCGCGAACACACTCCGCACCGCGCCATGCACCGTACCGCCGAGCGTGAACGCGTCCCGCACCGCGCCACGACCGCGTCCACAAGCGCGTAACCACCCCGCACTGCGCCGTTACCTTCCCACCGAATTCCTTCCCTACCAAAAAACCAATCATCCCCCGATCCTTTTTTTCCGCTCCTGGGGAGAGGGATGCTAACCCCGAGATCGACCAATCCGACCGATCCGACCGAAAATACCGAGGTCGATCTCGGATATAAAAAGGCATCACTCTCCACAGGAAATCACTCCTCGTTTACTCCTGTTCCTAGCTCGTTTTCCGAGAGCCCGTCTCAAAGAAGCGAGCATCCGTAACCGGTAGCAAGCCTGAGATTTGTTGGGGTTCTCCCCAACGCGCCAAGTTCGCTTGGCCTGGCCGAAAGCCGTCTCCGTAGCTCGCACGGCAAGCCGAGAGTTGCTGAGGTCTCCCCAGCGCGTCGAGTTCGCTCGACCCGACTTCGCCGTTTCCGAGATTTCACCGCCGAGTATCGGGGTTCTCCCCGATACTACCTCTCCGAGGTACACCCAGGGTACACCCTGGTCGGCCGAGTACACTCGGCATCGCCACTTTCTTCTCCGCACACAGCTGGGGCCCTCCCCAGCTGGCCGAGTTCACTCGGCATTCAGACAGACAGACGAGGGGCGCACCCCCCCGTCTCAGTCGAGCCCTCTCGGCAGGGAACGGGTCCACTCGTTCTCCGATCTAAACGATCCGCCGACCTCGCAAAATATCCACCCTCGCGACAACACCCGCGACACGCGTGCACGTTAAATCCACGCCGATTTAAAGGCCCGCGACGAACACGTGCGACATCGCCGCCGCCGCGCGCGCCCCGCGCCACCGAACTACGCGCCGCGATCAGTATCGCGCCGACCGCCCGAGCGATATCTTATTTTATATTCACGCGCTATCCGCGCGCCGATCGCCGTCTCGCCCGTCCACCGCCACCAACATTAACGCGAAGATTCGATGCATTCCATCGCACCACTATTAGTCAAATAAAACATCGTTAGTTGTTATAATTATCGCCTAATAATTTAATAACACCTTTCTGTCTCCAACGTCCTCGCTTCCCCCCCTGGTAACCGACTGACCGCTCTCCGCGCGGGAAAGCGAGACCGTTTTAACTTTGATTTATCTATTGTAATCAGAAACCAATTTTGTTATTAGAAATGTTGTGTAGATATTAAATCATTGATATACCGATTTATCAAGTAATTCCAAATTCTGCCTTGTATTTTTTCTCTTATCAATACTTTCCGTATAATTAATTTTGATGTCATTAAAATCCAAACTCCAAATAAGACGTCTGAAAAACGTCTGAAAAATGCCTTAAAAATGTCATTTATTGAAAAATAAGACATCCCAAAGATGTCATAAATCGGGTCATAAGACACCTTAAAGACATCTTTTTTATAATTTAATAAAACGTTTTATAATATTTAAGACTTTTAGAATATTTAAGAGAGTCTTTTAGACGTCTTTAAGATGTCATAATGTTCTCTGTCCTTTTTGTCATAATGTTATCTGTTCTTTTTGACTGAACTGATTGTACTAGTTCACAGTTTATCTTTTTATTACACTAGGGGTGTTCAGACGAGCTCGCTATTAGCGCTATTTAACCCAACTGCTGTTGGGGGAGCTATTGATAACGCTACCAGACGCCATCGTGACGTCATATCGGTAGCGTTTTTTACGTCATAACTCGCACTATCAACACTATGGCTTCCGAGGTAGTGCATGGCATTTGGTAGCATTAGCATTTGCGAACTCCGCGAACAATATTAAGCTTTTAGCTATGAACGCCACTAATAATGATTTTCGCGTATGTTATCTTTTTGAACAGTACGTCACTATAATAGCTCTCGTATGTTATCTTTTTTATGTTTTTTTCAAACTCTTTACATGAAAATGTATAAATAAATTAGTAGAGCTACAGTGCCGCGCAAAGTCCAGCCGTAACTAAGAGATTAACAGTGAATTGTTTGTTATCCTGAATTGTCTGTCAATTCGAAAATTTTGAAGTTTTTGATAAATTTCGATAAAAAATTTAAATTAAAAAATTAAAATTTAATTTAATTAATTAAATTTTTTTAACTTTTAAAATAATTGTTTTAAACTTTGTTTTTTGCATAATTTTCGATTCGGTATATGTCTTCTTGGATTTATATTTTTTTTTATTATTTTTAATTTTTTCATTATCACTTTCAGACGAATCTATGAAGAATCTATTAATTCTCGCGCTTTTAAGTGTTACTACTGCTAATAATAGTTTTTTTCGATTTTGCTCCATTTTGCCATTTTGATTTAATGCTTAGATTTAACGTTACATTCACTATCGCTATTCATGAAGTTCGCATTCGAGCGCTATTTTGACTCCGTGAAACGACGCAATCAGTAGCGTTAGCATTAATAACACGGTAGCGAACACAAAGAGAGAGAAGAAAAAAGATAAATTCTGGGAGTTAATCATATAACTTTTCCCCTAAGTGTCGGTCCACAATAGATAATTTAAGTTTTAAGAAGTAAGAAATTGACCAATTATAATCGAATATGAAAAGAATAATTGATTATGATTGGTCAATTTCTTACGGTTTAAAGATTAAATACTTATTGTGGACCGACACAAGGCGAAAACGTGAAAAGTGAAAAGTTTCACGTGAACTTATGATCATGTATGATTTCGAAAGATCATGTAACTCTCTCAAACTTGAAAATGTGAAATTTTTCACGTAAACTTTTTCGCCATGCACCTTCGTGGCAGAAAGGCGGAAATCTAAGGAATTAATAAATATGCTTCGAATTAAAGAGGATTCACATCTTAACAGAAAAGCAGAAAACCAATTAGAAATCAACAAAAGTCAAAACTCACGCGGTAATAAAGAGTACATTCTGCGATTACTAACGCAAGTTTAGATTGGCTTCTGTTTTTCTGTTTTCTGTTTTTCTGTCAAGGTATGAATCCTCTTTTAGAGAAGATTAAGATTGCATTCGGATTAAATGTACATAGTACATATATAATACAATCAATTGTTAAAAGATGTATATAATACTGAACCCATGATATAAGGAGACAAGGTGTGCTTGTCAGATAGATCCAATTTGGATCCGGTCTGCGCAGATATGGCATTAAAATAAGTCGCTTTCCATATTGGAAAATAATAATAAAATAAATAAATTTGTGATTACGTGATATATGATTTGATAATAGAAAATTTAATAATTATTAATAATAAAGTCACAAGTAGTAGTTCTCAATTAAATAAATTCATTAATTGTCCTTTCCTTATTTATACTACATTTTGAATATCGCTGATTGGCTGATTATTAATATGGCCGGCTATTTGTTCCGCCATCCTCATTGATCCATTGATTCTTATTTTCATGCGCAAGAGCACAACTTGGGTGCTTTTCAGCAACGACATTGTGTAAGTCTCGGTCCACAATAGGTATTTAATCTTTAAGCCGTAAGAAATTGACCTATCATATGCGATTATTCTTTTCATATTCGATTATGATTGGTCAATTTCTTACTTCTTAAAGCTTAAATCACTTATTGTGGACCGACACTAATACAATGTACAACCCAGTGCTTTCCAACTATGCCACGAGTCGACACAATTAAAATGCTGTGTACGTTGTTTTGTGTCACTTCATGGATACTAACATTTTTGCATTCGGTATCACTGGAGCGGATATCATTTTCTATATAAAAATTATTTAACTGATTAATAAAATTAATAATTTTAAATAAAGCAAAATTGTAAACTTACTATATCACCGACAATATATAAAATCATTAACATCGATGATCTTATGGGAGTTGTATGGCTGAAAAAATTAAATTGTCCTGCACTCGGACGGTGAAATAAAAAAACTAAATAAAATATAAATAATGTGTCAGCACAAATCGATATTGTGTAACACTGTGTCACACAGTGTATCGCTGTGTTCGTGTCGGTTTACATAAGTATTTAATCTTTAAGTCGTAAGAAATTGACCAATTATAATCGAATATGAAAAGAATACTCGACTATGATTAGTCAATTTCTTACGGCTTAAAGATTAAATACTTATTGTGGACCGACACTCATGGACCGACACTTCCGTAACTGGAAAGCATCCCTTGTTTCTTTACACCATGCATGGGACGTGGGACGAATGGACCAATCACAATCAAGTATCAATTCTCCCCATATTCGACTGTGATTGATCAGTTCTTGTGGCTTGCGGCTTGTGACAATATGCAACGTATTGTAGAACAATAAGTTTTACTGCTTAAGTTTTTTTTTGTGCACTATAGCTCTATTACATTAAGCAGTCTTCTGATTGGCTAAAGAAATTGTCTACTGCGTATTTGTAGTTGATTTATCTGAACAAACTTATAAGCAATGAATTTTGGAACATAGTCTTGATAGACTTTATTCTTCAAGTCAAAAGTCAAGAGGATGATTTCTTTCAAGTTTTTGCGGTTTGTCAAACTTGGCCAAACTGATCTCTGTTCGTTGAATATATATATATAAAGGATTATTAAGCATTTTTGTAGTTATTGCCATGTTTATTTTTTAATTTTTAACTGTAATTCATGTGCATGCAAATGTAGAATTTTAAAGTCTACTGTATTTTTTATCAACAACTTGAATTGATTGTTTATGTAAAAGACTTGCATATATATGTAAGTTGCTTATCTAAAGTCATATGATATAATCGTGCAAAATGACGGACAATATCAAGCAAACAAAAAGTGAAATGGAAGATCAAGAACTGAACGATTTGTTGGACAGTATGTGTTTTATTTAGTAAATTGACCTAACCTTTACAGAAATAGATTAATCCACTTTTATAATCAACAGAAAAAGATGAAATTATGATTTATAAAATTATGTAATAGATCATTTTGTAATTACAAATATATTTTATATATATATTAAAAAAATGTATTCTGTAGCATTATATGAACTATTAACAAATTGAAAATTGATAATTGTATATATTATTATAATTGATAATATATTCAATCTGTTTTAAGTTTTAATTTTATTATATTTTAAATCTTAGGTGCTTTGCAAGATTTTAACAAAATATCTATATCAAATATTGAAAAAAACATTAGTACACTTGATTCACAAAAACAAACAGATGAATGTGAAACATCTGAAGATAAATGGACAGAAGATTTTCTTAAACAAACAGCCAATCAATTTGGAAAGAATTTACAAAATTTGTTACAGAATGGTGAGTTAATAAAATATGCAACTATATACGTATATATGTATGTATACACACATATATATATATATATATATATATATATAATATATATACATATATGTGTTACTATATTTATTATCAGGAGATAATGAATTGGAGGCTGCTTTACAACAACTTGAACAAACATCAGCTAATAATATAACGGATGAAAAAGACATCAATGCAGATTTTCAATCAGCTATTTCACAAGTTTTAAAAGATTTAACTGCAAATTCCACAAATTTACAGGTAATCTAATTTTTATAATATGACATGCATATATTATATTATTGATGCTTTTATTAAAAATAAAATTACAAATAATACAATACTTATCTTTATAGTATCTTTATCTATATCAATTTTATTTTGCAATTTAAAAACTATAAAAGTGATCAAAATAGTAGTAAATAATAATATTCTTTTCCATTGGTCTTCCTAAGTGTCGGTCCACAATAGGTGATTTAAGCTTTAAGAAGTAAAAAATTGACTAATTATAATCGAATATGAAAAGAATACTCGACTATGATTAGTCAATTTCTTACGGCTTAAAGATTAAATAGTTATTGTGGACCGACACTAATAAGATTGAATTACGATTAAAATAGATAAAATATATTTTAGGCTGAATCAGAGGTAGCAGCTATGTTGGGGCAAACATCTCTTGATAGTGACACTAATGATATCTTACCATTTATGCAAGGAATGATGGAACATCTTTTATCAAAAGAAATCCTTTATCCATCATTGAAAGAACTATTAAATAAATATCCTGCATGGTTGGAAGAACATAAAGCAATTTTGAATCCTTCTGATTTTCAGAGATTTACGAAACAATCAGAGCTGATGCAAAAGGTATGTTGAATAAAATATTAATAAAGAGATTCTCGGTCTGTTAATATAATATAAAAATTAAAGCAAATGAGAATCAGCGGTGTTCACAGTGCACAATTAACACTCTTTATTACAAACTTTAATATATAATACAGATGTTTTGATTCAAGTTTGAGTCATCTTCAGTGAATATAAAAATAAAGATAAGATTCTGTGTTCATCTAATGAGCCTAGCAGTGATAAAATCGTTAATTAATAATTATGACCGTACATATATATGTTATCTTTAAAAGAAATGAGACAATGGTCATTAAGGGCTGTCAATTATGAACACAGTTCACTAAAACGAGAAAGCACGTGCAGGAATTTGCACCGAGCAGCACATCGCACAGGCGTGTCCGCATGCCTTGAACTCCAGGCAGTAACTAAGCGCAATGACTTTTAGATTTAACTTGCAATCAAAACAAAACCGAAGTTACAACTTGCTCAAGACGGAAACGTATGATACAAGAATCAATATCAGACTGTGAATTTAGGCTATTATTTTGTCTTTTAATAAAAAGCATCTCTGAAATCAATCGTTTTTGTAAATTTCGTTCACAGTCTAATACTTTCACATCATTCCAGTCAAATTCGTGGTCGTAATCTAATCTGTGCTCGGTAATGACTGAATGTATATTTGTGTTTCTGCGTATATGATTTTCGTGTTCATGTAGTCGTTTTTAATTGTCTCGTAGTTTGTCTGACATAGTACGCATCGCAATTATTGTAGCAGATCTTGTATACTACATTCCTTTTGGAATATGCTGGTAGAGCGTCTTTATGAACTTTGATCATGATAATAATCTCTTAATGACTATTGTCTCATTTCTTTTAAAGATGACATATATATGTACGATCATAATAATTGTTAATTAACAATTTTATCATCAGTGGGCTCATCAGATGAACACAGGATTTTATCTTTATTTTTACAATTTATATTTATCTTTATTTTTACTTTTACATTTACTGAAAATGACTCAAACTTGAGTCGAAATGTCTGTATTATATATTAAAATTTATAATAAAAAAATTGCTACAACTGTGAACAGCGCTGATTCTCATTTGCCTTAATTTTTACAATTATATTGAATAAAATATATATTGAAGTTTCGATTAATATATTTGATTAATATATTTTTATATCTTGTACAAGGTATGTATAGAATTTGAAAAGAAAAGAGGATGATACAGAAGATATTAAACAACATCGATTTGAATGTATATTAAAACACATGACAGAAATGCAAAATTATGGTCAAGCACCAGACGATCTCATTGGCGAACAGTGTTCACTTTTTCAGTTTGATTCTGAAGGGAATCCGATTTTTCCATTTCCATCTGGAAGAGAATCACAACAAGATTGTTGTATTATGTAAATAGATGTGCATATATGCAATTACATTCAAATATTTCTGGGATTATTTTGGCCACTTAGATTTATTTCATAAATCTTATAAGATTTTATTATTTAGCTTTCTAAGATAAATGTTAATATATAAATATATATGCAAAATATATACGAAACTTGGTCTTAGAGTATTTAAATTTTGGAAGAATTGTTTTTAGTTCTTGTAGAAATTGAATTTTGTGCTTGTAGAATTTTATGCAATCTCAGAATCAATTTTGTTTATGTTTTGTAATATATTAAAGTTACAATTAAAAATTATTTGTATTTAGGGATGTAATATGGAAAATTCAAAAATTTTTTATCTAAAATTTTTTCCGTAAAATTTTCGCAAGATTTTTAAAAAATTGTAAGCTTTTTTTAATTAATATTTTTAGAAATAATATTGTTCTTATAAATCATGATTGTGGATAATAATACCATTAATACATTTAAGTAAATATATTTATGTAACTGGGTACATTTTGATATAAATTAATTTTAGTCAATATTTTCTTACAATTTAATGTAAAATTATTTATTTTGGTGGACCGATTTGACTATTTCTTCAATGTATTATTTTGTTTCTAATTATATACAAATATTGAGATATTGAAATATTGAATGGTGTATCGCAAATGATACATATACAGCATCCAATAATAATCATATTACCTTTTATAGACAGATAGGGTGAATGCCCATTGAGCGCGTCATGCGTCGCGTCATCCATCGTTACGACGCGATGCGATGCGAGGTAAATTTAAAGATAGCGTGTGTATACACACACACACACACATACATATACATTTTTAAAAGTGCTTCCAATCTTAAGAAATTTATTTCGCACAAATTAATATATATATATATATATATATATATATATATATATATATATA